TTAGGTTAAGAGAAAGTGACTGACAAATCACCCAGCCAGCTTTCATGTCTAAGGCAGGACTAAAACTCATTATCTCCCACTTTATAGTCTGGTGTCTTAACCAAACCCAGTAATCAAACTGGATTTGATGACTTTTCTGTAGAATTAAAGAAGGTTTTTCGATTGTAAGTGGTAATATAGTTTAAAGACTTGTATAAAATTTCACAGCTTAAGAATTTATTGCATTTCCCTTACTTGTGGCCAAGTTGGAACTTGGGACCAATTCTTCTGTAGAATGTACAGATAGTCCTCAACTTATGACCACAATTGAGCCCAAAATTTATATTGTGAAGTGAGACATTGAGTTTTGCCCCATTTTACATTTTTTCTTGCCACAATTGTTAAGTGAATCACTGCAGTTGTTAAGTCAGTAGCACAGTTGTTAAGTGAATCTGGCTTCCCCATTGACATTACTTGTCAGAAGATCATAAAAGGTAATCACATGATCTCAAGACACTGCAAAGGTCGACTTCCGGTTGGCACCGCAGGGACACAGACGGGGAAATGGCGAGCTCTGCAGAGCTTCGCCAAAACCCCGTCTGCTAAGCTGCTGCCGACAGGTCTGTGGACCTCCGATGTCTTGTAGGGACAGGGGAACGAGAAGGGACCCCTTGGGCGGCTGAGAGGAACAGGCAGGTTCCTCGGGGCCGGAGGCTTTCCCTTCACGCCAGCGGCAGTGGAACGACAGCCATGGTGGCTGTCCTGAAATGCGGCAACCAGGAACAAAGATCGTGCTGGAGGAGAGGAGACGAAGCGGAGAAGAATAGAGAACGAGTATCTCGAAGCCGGGTGAGTGACACCAACCAGGCAAAATAATACATATATTTGGACTTAAAAAAAGAAGATCCCAAACTTCAAATAGCGGTTACAGAGCCGTGGGGCTTGAAGATTGAAGAAAAAAAAAAATGAAGACCCAAAATAGACTTTACTTTATTAAATTTGGATTAATTGGCTTTTAACAACTCAGTAAATTGACTTTGCTTTTATTTGGAACGGATTGGAGAAATGTCTCTTTGGGAGTTTACACCTTTGAAAGTTAATGAAGCTAATGAAGACAGACAGACGGATGGCTACAAAGTTGCCATGGAGTCTGCGGTGACTAAGCAGGAATGTGGATTGAAGATATTTTTCTTTCCATTTGAAAAAGAAACATTTTAAATGGCTTTTTACTTTGGATTACTTTGAAATTAACACTAGATCTATGGACTTTGGAGATTTCTATTCTGTCCTAGATGATTTTAAGAAGAAAGAAGGAATATTTTGGACATTTGACAATGGAAATTAACAAGCTTAGCAAAAAAAATTAGGTATGGCGCAGGAAAAAAAGACAGGAAGTTGATGCATCAGACATGGAACAGACATTATAAAAGCATTAAAGGAACATACAGAATTTTTTAATTTGAACAGATGAACTTTGAAATGGAACATTTATGGACAGACAGAAAAAGGAAGAAAAGGAGGAAATAAAGTAATAAATTTTAAATGTAACTAAATTGAAATGTAAAGATTAAAGGTATACATGTTTTTTGGATAGAAACAGAAAGGCTTCTGGAATAATAAAAATAGAAAATAAGAGATGGCAATTAAAATAGAAGATGATATATAGGTGGTTAAAACAATAAAGAAGAGTATATATTACTGTGAGACAACTTTAAGAAAATTTTTTTGCTTGATGTAACATGTTTTAATTTTAATTTGCAAAAAAATGTTAGATTGATGATTATGTTGGATTAAGGTTTTATTGAACAAATTATCAGACACACAGATATTAGCGACAAATTGTGATTTAATTTAATATATGATGGAAATGATGATTATTATGAAATATATTGAGAACTAATTTGAAAGACTGTGCTGGAAACTGACATAAAATAGATAATTATATGTTAAGGGGAAGTTAAAATAAGAGGGATGGATACCAACTAGATAAGAGTTTGAGACTCGGAGGAAATATGTTGGAAGCTAGTTAAAATGCTGGAAATCAGCCAAACACTTACAGGATAGTTGGAGGAGATTATGCTGGAAATCAGCCAAACAAGAGTGGAAGCCCTGGAGGGAACTATGCTGGAAATCAGCCAAACATAATATGCTGGAAATCAGCCAAACAAACAGGAGGAGAGTTGGAGGAGAATATGCTGGAAATCAGATAAACAATGGAGGGAGTATAGGAGGAGACTATGCTGGAAATCAGCCAATAAGGGTGGTAGGCTTGGAGGAGATTATATTGAAATTAGCCAAAAATAGTTGGTGCTCTGGAGAAGAATATGCTGGGAATCAGCCAAACAGAATACGTTGGATAATAGCCAAATAATAGAGGGAGGTATGGTGTGATAAATCTGTGTAACATGAAAAGTGTAATAGATGATAAGTTGGATAAAATCAAAGATAAATTGATAAAGTTTAAGATATTAAGAATCGAGGAAAGGGTCAAGAGATTAAGAATTAGATGGAATTTTATCTTATAAAGTGTAATAAAATGGAGTGGTATGGAATTTGAAATTAAGATTTGTGGTGATAAAATTGTAGGGTAAATAATTAGAATAAGAGGTTAGAATATTGTTAAAAGAATTTTTTGATGCTGATGGTAAAAGATATAAAGTGAAGAAGAACAAGATATAATTAAGATTGATATATAGATATAAAAATGAGTGAAAATTAATTTGAAATTAAAATTGTATTGATATAATGGAATTGTTTAGATGAAGATGTTAGAATTTATGTTAAAACTTGCTTTTTTATGTTTTGAATTTTCATTTGTAAAAGATGTAATGGGAAATTGTGAATGGAGCTTGTTAAAGAAATGTAAGCATGGTAACCATCTATGGACCGGATCGAGACTCTGCTCTTGAAAGTTATATTTTATGTTTAAGTTTGAAAAAAAATAAAAAAAAATATTTACAAAAAAAAGACGCTGCAAAGGTCATAAATATGAGTCAGTTGCCAAGTGTCTGAATTTTGATAATGACCATGGGGATGCTGCAACAGTCATAAGTATGAAAAATGGTCATAAGTCACTTTTTTGAGTGATGTTGTAACTTTGAATGGTCACTAAATGAACTATTGTAAGTTGAGGACTACCTGTATTTTACTGGACAGATCTAGGCTTTCCCATGAAATAATCAAATCTCTAATCTTATAAACTCCATTATTATTTGTCATAACAACTGCATTTTCTTTGCAACAGGCTATGTTTAGTTGATTATTCACCTTTTTAGTTTTAACTTTCACCTCTAACAAATGCTGAATTTAATATTGGACTATGATGAACAGTTTTGTGCCTTACTTGTATTCAAGAAGATTCTGTACCTAACTTGAATGCTAGATACATTTTAGATAGAATAATCCTAAATTTCTGTTTCTAAATTTCTTTTCTAAAGATTTAACTACAATAAAACCTTAATTTAATAGCACATTCAGGTAGAGGGATATCCATTAACTTTAATGCCTATTAAATCCTAACTTACATGGTTTACACCAACAATCATTATTTGGAAAATTGCATAATTCATGCAAATAATATATGGCAGTAAACTCTTGATTTAATGAATAATCTAAACAAATAATGTGTTCAGCGTCTTTGAGCCTATTAAATTGAGGTCAGCCAAGGATTTACTGTAAAAGAGTACCCAAAACAAATGAACAAACAAACAAACAAAAACCTAGGCCGTTCTTTCTTGACTATCTCTAGGCAATTCATTCAACCTCCTAGGAATATGAAGCTTGATTACATAGCTTTGAATAGAATTCCAAAGATTTGTTAGATTAACATTCCTTGTTTTAATTGACAAGGAATTGTGTTGGAAGACTTCTGGCTCTTCCTTTCTCTTCTGGGCAAAATACAGAATCTGGGCTCCTTATCTTTTAAACAGATTAATATAATGATGGCATTAATGTAATATTCCTGTAATGCAGGGGTGTCAAACTCAATTTCATTTAGGGTCGCATCAAGGTTGTGTTTGATCTCGGAGTGGGGGGGGGGGGGGGGGGGCGTGGCCACCTCAATAACTCATGTTGAGGGTGCCTGTGGTGGCCCGGGTGGGGCTGGAGGGATCCATTGTCTCCAGCGGAGGAATGCGAGACCAGTGAGAGGGCCAAACACTTGTCCTCCACAGGAGCCTTGCCATCCCTCTCACACAATGCAAAAGAACCTCAGATGGCAGCGCAGGCTGTCCACAGCCCTAGGCAGCAGAGGGCAAGCGCTTCCAGGGCATCAGGGCCCCCCAGCCCAGCCCAGCCCTGCTTCCCTAAGGGGGTGCTGCGTTTACCTCCTCGAGCTGCTTACCTGTTGCTGCTGTGCTCTCTCTCCTTGGCCAGGTTGCTCATGGTGTGTACAGGAGGGCAATGTGTGTGGGTCAGGGAGAGGCCCACTCCAGCTCCACGCAAGGAGACCCAGCTTTGTAACCATAGCATCCTCAACGATAGGATGGGAGATTACCAGGAGAGGTCAGGAGGAGGAGACAAGGGGATGGTGAAAGGGCAGCAGGGCTGCTGGTGGCCAAGTGCTCAGACCCTCCCTCTCATTGTAATATCCTTCCTTCCTTCCTTCCTTCCTTCCTTAACTAAAGAAATTTTAGATATCTGGTGAACTGATAGATTCTCTATTTTTGACATCCCTAATAGTGAGATAAAAAGCTATTATAGACATAAATATATGTAGGAGCAACAAGAATGTATTCATGATTATCATTGTTGGAATGTCTCTAGGTACATCCTATTTCTGGTGGTAATCTATTTAATGATATATTTAAAAATGAGACTGATTAATAGTTTTGGGGTAGGGTAGGAGAGAAGAGGACATTTATCTGTGTATTTCCCATTCTTTTATGTTTTGCATGCTGTATAGTAAAGTAATGTGATATGCCATACTATAACAAATACTTGTTTTCTACATACATAGGACACTTACAAAACATTATATAGGAATGAGATCTTACACTGCTGAACTTTGTTTTCCTTTTTAGGCAAATTTTTTAGGTCAAGACATAGGACCATGGTATTTTCAAAAAATGTATGCAAGATATTGGAAACATTACAATGAAGCTATGGAGTGGATGTATAGACATAAAAACGCTTATAGAAAAGCCATGGAATTATTATATAATCCATCACTTCATCCTTCCAAACAACATCAACGTTATTCTGACTGGGATGAAAATGTTCCAGGGAGAACTGGTCCATCTTCGTTCTCCACCTCAGCCAGCAAACCACGGTATCCTCCAAAGCCTCAGAATGACCTGCATTATGTCAGAAAAAGGAGAGCAGCAGAGAAAGATTATGAAACAGATTCAGAATCTGAAGGTGAAGAGGATTTAGAATATGACCTCGACAACATGGAAATCACAGAAGAGCTCCGTCACTATTTTGAGCAGACAGAAAGACACCAGGAAGAACTACGTGAGTGTGTTTTCTTCTCTTATTCTTCATATCAATTTATTTTTATACAGTTTATCCCTTCTTTTCACGTCCATGTGTGGATTCCATCTGTTGTCTAAGGAGCTCAGCCTGGAAATCTTGTAGCTAGGATTTTCGTTGTGAGCTCTTCACAAATCAGGGACCAATAAACTCAAGGATTGATAATTTGTAGTCAAAGTGTCAATGTCTCTAGACAAAATTGCAAAATATTTTTTCAAGCTGCTTTGGAATGAAAAAATAATGAAAAAATTGGTGATGGTTTATCTGAGCTACTTAAATTTGGATATAAATACCTTACAGTGTCACTGAATAACCATTACAATTCAAATAGCCAATTTTGGCTAGTGATTATCAGCATTAGTTCATAATCAGCAATGGTTCATTACAGGAAAAAAGCCTGAGATATAAAGACTTTAGGAAATTGTAAACTTTTCTCTTAAAATGAGAAAATCTTATGCAATATACTAGGCAAGCTTCTTCAAGTATTTATGATCAGGTCAGACTTAGTTATGCTCGATCAAGTCAGAAGAGCAAAACTGGGATTTCTCCACACTCTCCCCTTCATTTTCTCAGGCATTTTTCATTCAGAAGTTGATGACAGAAATACTACTTTGCAGTTTGATATAACTTGGTCTTAAAATTCTCTTAGATTGCATTAAATAAAAGATAAGATCTAAGCTATCCAGCCGAGCTGATACATTGATTTTTCAAATTTGGCCATAAGGCACAGCAAAAAGCCATTTATATACAGTTATGAAACCTGTGCTTGTTAGCTACTCGATCTGCTAATAATTTGAGTCCCAAATATTTTGATAAAATGGCATTTAACCAAGTCAGTTTTTCTTCTGACTACTTCTCTTGAGCATATATCATAATAAAGAAAACTGGCCAAGGATCTTTTCTGGGAAGTGAATCTCACATTGGTTATGTTACCATTGGAAATTCTCTACCTTACTTGGCTGTTCAAAATGACTGGGGAATTTCAATCCGAATCAGAATCTGAGTATATATATATATACATACAAATATTTATAGCCCTATTAATATGGAATTTGTAAACCTAAGGCTATAAGAGTCTTGTGCTTTGTGTGGATTTGGTTTCTGTGGCAAGAGAAATAATCTGCAGGGCAATTTTACAGTTTGTTCTTCTAAGCAATGTATTGAAACTTTTTAAAAAGCACTGTTCTGAACCTTATCCTGTGAAATTTGTGCATATAGAATGATATTGTTTAAAATTAATATCAATTTGATTTTTTACATTTTAAATAGTAGATTATTAAAATGGTCCAAAGGAAATTCCTAGTTATATTGCTGAAGCTTGGAGGAAAGTCATGACTAGCATATCATACAGATCAGCCATTTACTTTCTCTTTCCTTGATTTAATCCAACAGAGTAGATTTCAATGCATCTTTATCCTTCAAGTGTTTGTTATGCAGTACAGGAAGTTTCTCTCTCTCTTTCTCTCCCCCTCCTTCTCCCCCACCAATAATACAGCTTTTACTTGAGGAGAAAAGGTTTTAGACAAATTAAAAGCATCTTCTTCCATAAGTAATCCTTTTCTTTAGAAAGTGTTGGATTTGAAAAACCTTTTATAGCTTTCTTTTTGATTGGCTCAATTCACAGACTAAATAAAATTACTTCTCCCTTGTGAATTTTACACTGAGGCACTTCTCTTAGAGTTTTACACTGAGACACTCACAGCACAAAGCCTGTTTTCTAGAATAGATAACCTCTCCCTCAATAAGAATCCTAATTGTCATAGTACCAAATAAAAATAAATACAGGTAGTCCTCTACTTATGACCATAATTGAGCCCAATATTTATGTTGTTAAGTGAGAAATTTGTTAAGCGAGTTTAGTCCCATTTTATGTCTTTTCTTGCCACATTTGTTATATGAATCATTGAAGTTGTTAAATTAATAACACGGTTGTTAAGTGATGTTGGTTTCTATTGCCTTTGCTTGTCAGAAGGTTGCAAAAGTTTATAACATGACCCTGGGACACTGCAACTGTCATAAATATGAACCAGTTATCAAACATCCAAATATAAATCACGTGACCACGGGGATGATGCTGCCATGGTTATAAGGGTGAAAAATGGTCATGTCACTTTTTTCAGTGCCGTTGAGGACTACTTGTACAGATTGGGAAAGAACATCTATCTATCTTTCCAATTTTGTTATCATTTGGGAAGACTCTTACCACCTGGCAATCCCCTAGAATTTGGAGAAGATATATATTTAATTTCACAAACCTATTGATTTTGCAGTTGACTGTTTTCAGCTGAACAAATTTCAAAATAAAATTTGATCAAGCTATTAGTCCATTACTTCATTTCATCATTCCTCCTCTGCAGAAAACCTTTGGAGTATATATGTTGAAGAAGCTGCACATTGTTTTCTTTAAATGTCAAAAGATTATCTGCCACTATTAAGTTCTGCATCAAAGTCTATGGCTATGTGAATCTGAGTGGCTTTTTAAATTTAGGGATAATGCTGGGGGGAAATGGGGCTGGGGAGTTACCAGATATTATATATAATACCAGCTCCTCATGTCTATGACTGTTTAATAATGCTACTACCTACAGATGTATCTTTTTGGCTTCCTCATCAAATTCCTCAACCCAAATTTATAAAGATTCCCTGGAGGACAAACCAACTTCTCATGCCTGCTTGTTCTTTTAAATCCAGAATTCAGAGACATTTATTGGTTGATAGCATATCACAGTGCAATATTTAAAATATCTGGGCGTCTTGTGAAATGGGGAGAGAAATAAATGGTAGATATGTAGTAAATATCTCCTCCCACTTAGTGGAATATTTCCATTTGACCAAATAGAGTTTAAAGCTGGATAGATGACACAGCCGCACAAACAACCCTATTTCTTACTCTCATCAACTTTCATACGGTCAACTGGAAAGTATGTAGGTGAGTGTCCTCAATTGAACGTAAACTATATCTCAGTCACTATAAAACATGGTCCCAATTCACATGGAGAGTTGTAGTTTTATTCAAATACAAGGAAGCTTATTTTCAGATGAAAGCATGGAGATAAAAGAAGAAAAGGGACAGGTCAACATTTGCAGCTTGTTCTTTATCCAGTCAGTGTATGCAAAGAGCCCAGTTTGCCTAGAATAGCTCCTTGTTTGTTAAGCTTTAGAATAGATTCCAGGCCCTTCTTGATTGATGATAACAGTTCTGGTGCCCAGAGGAAAAGAAGTTGCCACAGGCATGAAGGTCTGACTAAAATGATGCCCAGACGGTGTTAAAGACATGGTGGAGAAGCTCTCAGTACTCCTTAAGCCCACTAACAGCTGTGGAAAAAAGTAAATGTAATCCTAGACTGCATCAACAGAAGTATAGTTCCTTTCTATTCTATGTTGATCAAACTGCTCTGGAATATTGTACCCAGTGCCACATTTTAGAAAAGACATGGAGAAATTGGAATATGTCTAGAGGAAATCAAAGCAGATAAAGGTCTTAGAAGAATACATGTATAGTTGGAGGCACTGAATATGTTCAGTCTGAAGATTGGAGTGGGGGGGCATGATAAATCTCACCAGAGAAAGGACTGTCGAATAGAAGCTGTGACAGTTCTGTTCAGGGTTTTTCCAAAAACAGTAGTCTTAAATTACAGATTTAATTATAGATTTAATTGCAGATCTAATTATAGATTTATTTGAACATTGGGAATAAAATTATAACAATGAACTCTATTTCATTGAACAATGAACTCTATTCAGCAGTGGAAATGTCTTTCTTTAGAGATGGCAGACTCTTCTTTATTGGCGGCTGGATCTCTTGTCTGTCTCGGATATGTAGTTCTGCATTCTAGATGTTCTCCAAGGTTCCTTCCAGTTCTTCCATTCTAGGATTTTATGCAGTATTCATAGTCTGCCCAGTGTGAAGTCATTACATTTCAAAATAATATATGAAATAAGGGTAAAATACCAACCACCACCTAAATATTTTTATGCTAATCTTCAGACCCTCAGTACTTAAGAATAATTCTAAAAACTGTCAATTTTTTTGAAACTCTGTCTCTGTTTTAACATTTCAATAAGGACAAGATTGCCTTCCCCTGCTCCTGCCTGTGTAGGCCCATTCTCCCCTCACAATTTTTTATTTCCATTTCTCTTAAATGCCATATTTTTATAATTCATATCATGTGCCATGTTCCAAATGGCCCAAAACTAGCTGTGGATATTTCAACATGTATAATATGCCAAATTAGTACCCTTGTACAGTAAACAGTTATGATTCTCAGATAAAGAGAACATAATGGTTTGTTCTTATTCCCTCCAAGATAATAAAATATTGTAAAGAAGTAACATAAGGAGTTCAAAACACTGCCTGGATAAGGTCCCTGAAAGTAAAGCAGAACAAAACCAAATGTGGCATTGCATCGGTGTGTATTTCTGTATGTGTTGTGTGTATGTGTATGTGTATGTGTATGTATGCATTGAAAAACTACAGGAGAAGCCAGCAAATGAAAGGTCAAGCCTGGAAATGGTCTATATGCAGGTAGGGACAGTAAAGAGGAGAAAGTCACCCAAGTGGATTCCCATAGCGGAATCAATTGGACTGCTTATATCATTGCCAGTTCATCGACTTCTCCTCCATTCTTGGCCTGGTGGCCCATCATAAGCATATTTAGCTTGTCCTGGATTTCTCAGGGCATATATACATATGAAGCTTGTGTGGAAAGCAGAACTTATATACACAGATGCAACACATATATACTTTCTCTGCTTACACCCAGGTATAACATACAGGTAGTCCTCGACTTTCAACAGTTCATTTAGTGACCATTCAAAGTTACAATGGCACTGAAAAAAGTGATTTTTGATCATTTTTCACACTTACAATTTTTGTAGCATCCCCATGGTCATATGATCAAAATTCAAATGCCTGGCAGCTGGTTCATACTTATGACCGTTGCTGTGTCCTAAGGTCATGTGATCACCTTTTGCAACCTTTT